CAGGAAATTAATGCTCCCATTGCTGTTACTCAGGTTCTGAATGAGAGATAACACAAAGGAGGTGGTGTTGAAGGCTGACTTGTCAAGTGCCCAAGGCAAGATGTGCCCACTGAGGCTGGGGGGTGTGGCTCTGTGGCACAGAGCAGACGTATGCAGCCTTGAATTCATTCTTTTGCACTGAACACGAGACTGCTAATGATTACCCTATGAGGGAGTCACGACCACTTGAGAGCTCACATTCGGTTAGCGTCTCTAAGGGAGGCATGGTCTCAATTAGCCCAAGAACAAGGGGGAAGGGGCTGAAGAAAGGCAGCGTCTCCTTGATCTTTGGATTCTGGGTGGGATTCAAACCCACATTTTTCTTTTGACCTGCACAATGAAGTCAAATCCCTACATGAGTCATCTGGGCACTTTGATTCTGTTTTCCAGAGCTGAAATCAATTTCTTTCTCTCGCCCTTTTTTTCATCCATCTCTCATCATGTCAATGAATAGAGAACTTTAGGTACATGGTCAATATGGAAGGAAGGAAAGGACAAAGGAAAGAAAGGGTACTTTTTGGTCATCCAGAGCGCTGTGAAAGAAATATACCAAGACCGAAAGGAAGAGATGGTAAGACAAAAGACTCGCGTGTTCTGTTCCATTCCTATTTGCCTTTCTCTGCTTCCGGTATTATTTTAGCTCTAAGTAGAAATCACACAACTGGGCTGAGTGTTTTCCTTTTCCTAAGTCCTAAGCTGGTTAAGATTGCAAGGCAGGTTTATCTGTAGCTCTTAAGGTTAGGTAAAGACACCTTAGGAAGCAACAAGACTCCAGCACTCACTTTTGTATCCCCTTCGTGGGCTCTCTGGGTATTATGAGGTTTCCTTGGGAACGGACCTTCCCCTAAGTAACGGCTACCAAGTCAAAACAAGTTCTTCTGTGCAATCATCAAGAATAGTGGCCTCACGAAAGGGACACGTTTGGTTATTGGTTATTCAGGCTTATTTTGTTGGTTTGCTTTTATAGCTACAGAACCACTGTGTGGTTCTACTCAGCTGGCTTTTGTTACCTAAAATATATAAAGATGCAAACAGTGTTCTGCTTGCTTTCCAGTCCTAGGCCTCAAACTCTGGTGTTAGCTACTTATCTCCAGACGTAGAGGGCTTTGAAAAGCTGAGTAGTCTGTAAAGGTGGGTTCCTGCAGAGGGATCTTCCAACCATGCCACTGAAGGAGACCCTCCATGCTGAGAATCAGGAACCAGGAATAGGTTCCTGGTTCAACAAATACGTCCGTGGAGAAAGCCATGTGATTTTTATTCTGTTTATGAGGTAAACCATCTTTAAAAGCGATTAAGAGAAAAAAGCTATACTTTTAAATTTTTCTAAAACTAAAGCGATAGCAAAGTTGTGAACCTGGCTTTGATGGTAAAGCTTGGGTACTAGTTTTGTTTTGGCAGGGGGAAGACGTTCATCCTTGCCTCAAATTCTGCATTCTGGTCAGTTTCCTTTCCACAGGAAGTTGTAGAAAAGGGAGTGACCAGTTTACATTACCATCTGTATCCCCGCCCCCAATGTTTAAAATGTATATGGTGGTCACAGAGAGAGAGTTCCAGAGGCTTCGTGAACGTTGGGAGAAGAGAAAAAAGTTGTCAGCGTTTATCACTGTGGTGCCCAGAAGAGTAAGATCCTCAACAGGTTAGAGATAGCTCATAAGACAGTAGGAGCTCCGGTGTGCATGTGGGCTCCACACCCATGGTTTGTCACTGAGAGAGTCCTTTACCTGGGGATAGGAACATGCCAATCATCTATCTCCACAGAGGGAAGTGTGGCAATATAACCTTGAAACCAAACCATTCTCGTTGGAAGCCTTTGTCTCGCCATTTGTGATGCTTTTCAGAGAATGACTTAGATGCAATTTGGTTTCTTTATCTGTACAGTGGATTGGTGATAAAATTATGCTGGTAAGTTGGCATGAGGGTATTGAATAAAGTGTAGCTACGTGAAGTATCCAACACCTACTCCAATATACTGGCACATCCTTTCATATTGCTGTACAACTAATGATAGGTAAGAAATGAAACCATCTTAACTGCCCATTGGTAGCTGAATTGATAGAGAAATCATAATACATACATGCAATGCTGTTTTATTCATCCGTAAAGAAGAATGACAATCGCGAGAAAATGGATGGGACTGGAAATCACGTCAAGTGAGAGAAGCGGGGGTCAGCAGGAAAAATGCTGCATGGACTATCTCAGGAGCAGAATGTGGATTTAGTCGTGTGTGTATGTGTGTGTGTTTGTGTACTAGAAAGGAAACCATGAGAGCAGAAGAAGAGCTTGTTAAGTAGGAGGAGAAAAGAGGGAATTGCAATACCTGTGACCAGAAAGCTGTCGGTGCATTATGGAGAAAGCAGCAGATACAGGGTTCAGGGCTTGGAGGATGCATGAGTAAAATGTATGTATAAAAACTCCATCACATCATGTGATCATTGAAAACACTAATTCCCCCGCCCAGAGAATACTGTATACTGTCTACAAACACGCTGCTGCTGAGTGGGTTCTTAAGAAATGCAGCTATTTTCTAGCGTGTGAGCTGGTATTGTTCCCTTTGATCCGGGCACACACTAAGACACAGAAGTCAAGTGGTCTTCAGTGAGTCAGCATTAGGGCTGCGCACGCCTTCAGCATCAGTGGCAGTGGGCTGTGTTTACTTGTTATAAAGGGAATGCAAGCTTGAAGGGCTATTTTAGGGCTGTTTATGCTGGTCGGCTGGGACAGAGGCACTGTACACAGTGGAGTGTGTGGGATCCACGTGGCTGCTGTGCCTGCTGTTTCTGCGAGAGAAATGTCTAAGGGCACGTGAACGACAACTCTAAAGTTATTCTGTGTGCCCTGGAGTCTTTAGACAGCATCTTGAATACTGCTGATTTAGTATTTGGCTCCTTTGTTCTCTGTCTGCCTTTCTCGTGTGTGTGTGTGTGTGTGTGTGTGTGTGTGTGTGTGTGTGTGTGAGTTGGGTGTTCATTGACCCTTCCCACTTACTTTATAATTCTCTTGGCTCCTGGCATGTGAGACAGGAGTCTCTTTGTTATTATCTTGAGCAACCTTGCAGGGCACATGCATATCTTGCTGACTTTCCCTATCCTAGGCAGTCCAGCACCTCTCAGAAGGTTTTTATGTTTCATTTGACCCTCCTTCCCAAAGAGAAAAGCTCCAAGCTGTGAGCACTCACTGGCCTCCGTGTCTGAGGATTCTGCCTTGGGTATTGGGCTAATACTGTGAACTAGGAAACAAGACGTTCACTATGACACAGGCTCTGAGATTTGCTGGGCCAGACGTGACCACTCAGACAGCGAGTGTTTCAGGGCACCGGAGAGAATCAGTTTACTACTCTAGGTTTCCCGGGTGGAAATAATTCTGTGCAGAAGCAGCCACAGCAGTGGGAATGCCGGGAGGGCATACAAGACACAGATTTTAATGCAGAACAGAGTGTAAGAAAGTTTGTTAGTGGAACTAGCTCTCCGTTAAGCCTGGAGTGAGGGATAAGTGTCAATCCATGTGTCCGTGCATCCATCCATTCTTGCAAGCATCTGTCTGTCCATCCATCAACCCACCCACTGGTGATTGCTTTTTATTTTTTTGGAGTAGCCACTTTGCCACATCAATACAACGTCCTGAAGGAAAGAGCAAGTGTCCTTGAGTGAAAAAGCCCGACCTTCTGATGATAGTCTTGTTTACTGTCCTTCTTTGAACTTGGTAGAGTTTTGTTTCAGGAACTAGAAATGCTTCTGAGAGAAATCAGGTTTGACTGAGCCACAAGTCTGAGTTTCCAGAGGTGTGCACGGACGAGGAGAACTAAAAGTGCTTGTGATTTGTATCTAGTTCTCTTAGCATTTCATTGTGTGTAGCTGCTCAGAGACAATTTTATTTGAAATGGCTGAAAAGAAACATTCTAGAAAGTGACTCACCATATGAATACCTTTAATGGATGTTTCACCCTTGGTGGAGTGAGGCCAAGTAACGATCACTCTGGAGTCATTCCTCGATGATGACTCAGCCTTGGGTCCCCAGGCAGACCTGTAACAAGCCTGACCCAGACCAAGCTTCAACCTACATATGTCACAGTGCCTACATCCAGCTTACCTCTGCTCAGCAATGGCCAACACCTTCCAAGGTTTTGTGTTCCTATTACTATCATTTTTCTTCTCAACATAAAGTTCGAGTGTCCTCATGCGGCCACTGAGCTCTTCTCCTTCGTGAATCTTGTTCTCCAGATGGACAGAAATATTTTCACTGGCATCTACTGCCCCCCAAGTTCTAGTTCTTCATTTTCAATCATTCTCGTTTCTGTTTGGAATCCATTTCTACATCAGTTACTACCCATGTAACTTACCCGTAAGTTTTACAGCAGACGGCCCTCTTCCCATTAATGAGGTTTGCCTTCTGTCTTCCTTACTTAAAACAGTGCTCTTATAATGAAACTCACCTGTAGATCCTTGTTACACACACACACACACACACACACACACACACACACACACACACGATCTTGGGTCCTCTCACAAAACTAGTTGCATTTAAATAAGATTCCTGGAGCTATGGGCAACCAATGGCTGCTGAGAAGGGGAGAATCAGTTTTCCTCAGGGATGAGACTCCTTATGGGTTATTCAATCCCAAGTGGACAGTGCTAAGCACATGTGTGCACACACAAGTGCACATGCGCACACACACATACACACACAAATAATTACGGAAGAAGTGCTGAATTTGAAGGTTAGTGAGGGAAGCACGGAAGGGTTAGGAGCAGGAGAAGGAGAAGTGGAAATGTTGTAAACACAGTAGTCATGCACGAAATTCTTGAAAATGAAAGAATTTAAATGAAACAATAAAATTAGAGAAACATTGTCTTGCCATACTTAGTTCTTGCTATTTTGTTTATAATTATTCCACCAAACCCTTTTAAATTTATCTTATTAATTACTCAAACAAATGGTTACTTTTCTATGTTTCAGATAGATTGGGCTTCAAATAAATAGAATCATGAAACATTTGAAAATACAGATTTTTTAAAATCTGCTTACAACAAAGGTACTTTCATCTGACCAAGCTCTTGGCAACCCTGAGACCAGAACTGGACAGTCTGGCTGGAAGGCTTCCTTCAGCTTACTCTATGACGGTGATGATTACATGGGCCAATCACTTGACTTTTAAATACAAAGAAACCCCACAGATTCAACTGCATTGTTGAGCTTCAAGGTTAACATGCGGTCGGTCAAGTTCTGGAAAGCAAAAAGGTGCTTCTGTGACCAGCACCGATGAGATGGATGTGGATGGCAAGGCTGTGTGTGGGAGCCACTGAAATGACCCGCTTCTGCCTCCCCTAGTTCCCATGGAGCTGGAGACTGTAGGTATTAACACCCATTTTCTTCCAGACTTACGGAACTCAAATACCATTTGTTCTGCCTTATAATTTTCAGCTTGGCTCAATGATTTTAACTGCAGTTTAGGCTATATATAGTGGAATATAAAGTTGCTTCTGCCTATTAATTTTAGCTTTGTATGTTCAAAAGCCAAAGTTTATAAAATCTGTGGGAAATTAGAAGAGGAAGGGGAGATTTCTTTGCCAAACATTTTGATGTATTTGATCCTCCAGGGTGTCTAAACATGCAACAAAGACACCACGACTAGACTTCCAAGAGGCCATTGCTTAGCTATTTCCCTCCTCCTGAGACAGTATGAAAGTCTTCCCCAGTGGAGGGTAATCATCAACCAATTTTTACTATGTGGCTAATAGAAGTTTGAAGCTCCGCAAGGGGACTGTTTGTTTCTCTGACTTTTGCCAACAATCATATCATGCTTCAGTTCTTGGTTTTAGCAAGGACTTTACACGGCAGCTGCCGGCTCTGCTTTCATATATGATGCATGTACCAAGTGGTGACTACATGTAAGAAACAGTAAAGTGTACACTCAAATGGTAAGGACCGATGGCCTGCAGATAATGATTTCGGTGATTGGCGGCTGGAAGAGTCTGTGAAAGACTCATGGTAAGGGCAGGTCACAGTGCCTGTTTAAAAAAAAAAAAAAAGCTGGGTTGGGAAGTCCAAGTGGTGAGCCGTGTAGTTGCTTACTTGGCATTTGAGTGGCCAGCTAAAAATGAACATATGGAGGAAAAACATCCTGACCCTCTACACTTTGTTCTAAAATGGTGTTTTTCTCCTCAGTTACGCTTCTTGTAAAGCATCTTACAATTCCAAGAAAATTGGCATGGGTTAGTTTAATCAGAGCTCATTTGTTCAAGTATTGCATACTTTCTTTAATGCATTATATAAACTGCATGGCTTCAGTCGAACAGGCATACACAAAGGTTAAAGAAAATTGTATGTAATTTCTTTCCGCAACAAAGCCAACATTTGCTATTTGCTTGCTTGTTCGAGTTGTGATCAATTTCTTCTGACAACGAGAAGCACAGCTTTCAATCAATGCAGAGTGTCCTAGGAAGGAATTCTTCATGTGCTTTCGTGGTCTTAAGAAGAACAATAAGCTAGAGGGGCCATTGCATGTTAATTTGTGTCCCACATCATTGTCTAGAACCCAGGACACTTCCCTGGCCACACACTGGCTCTACCCATGATTGTACTGTTTCACCTTCTGTGCTAAACTGTGCTGTGACTGAGCTTGCTAATATTTCTTATTTCCCCCATTGCTAAAATAAAATCAACTTCCCTCCAGTAAATTTGGAGACAGTGAATAAAATTAGAGAAAGAATCAAAAGGAGGAAGTATATTAATAGGAAACTTAAGTACATTGCTTTTCTGTTCAAATTTGGGCTTGGGTGAAAGAAAAAGATTATGCCCCACTACACACTCTTTCAGCCATCGTGATCTGCCCCAAGCAATGTAGCTGAGTGACAATGGCCTGAAACCTCTGAAATTATGAGCCCAAATAAATCAAATGTCAGGTATTTTGTTACGGCAACAAAAAAGACTGACGGACACAGGTCAAATTACTTTTGCTTCTGGTGTTAGCAGAAGAGAAATGGAATTCGTGAAAAGTGAAAGCCCATAGCCCATAAACTCCTCTGTCAGAATTAAAAATGTGCCCATCCATACCCTTCCTTGGAGAGATTAAATTGTGTTTGCTCTCCTGCCTTAACTCACGGGCTGAAATCTAAGCTCTAACACATTAGACTGTGACCAGATTTAGAGGTCATCAAGTTAAGAGAGGTCGTTAAGATTGGTCCCGATCTGATCTACCCACCTTACAAACAGGGCACTTGTGGGAAATGTGCACAGGATATGGAAATATCAAGGTGACCTTGGAGGGTGTTTCTCCGGGCCACGTGATCACTAGGATTGCTGAACAAACAGAAGAAGTCGGGGACTGAGTCTCCTTCCAACCTCCGAAGGAACAATCTTGGAGACTCCTTGATTGGGGATTTCTGGTTTCCAGGATGTTCTGCTGCCTGAACTGCGCAGCTGTGGTATTATCATGGTGCTAGAAAACTGGAAATGTCAGGGTAGGGTTTGGATGTTGAGATTTTATTCTAGGGATCAGTGCAAGGACTCCAAAGACAATCAAACACTGCCGTTCCCCGGAACTTGGGAAACAGATAAAGCTTGAGAATTAATAGTTCACTGCACTGACCCAAAGGCTGTCCCCATTCAGCAATGTCTGAAATGAAATATTAAGTTCCTCACCAGCAGAAAGAAAGCCAACTAAAACTAACCAGAATAGTCTCTCAGTCAAAGGCCAGTAGGGATGTGTTTTGACTTGCTAAGGAGATGCAGGCTGCTTTCCTTAGCGTGTCTCTCTCCACTTTTCTAGGTCACTGGGTCGTAGCGAGTCTGACGGATTCACACCTGAACGACAGCAGTTTGCATAAACTAACAAAATTGCAGCTCAGCCACTATCGTGAAGTTATCCAATTTTTTATGCTGACAAGATCGGGGCATGAAAGATGAGATCAGACACTTGATCCCCACGGAAAGCCATTAATATTACTTCCCTGAGAGAGTGGAAGAGGGGGAGAGGACTCTAAACAGCCTCATCTCAGCAATATCAGGAGCCAGAAATGCATGCAAGCTAGCATCAGGAATTTGGCTAGTCCTTTTGAGCCAAGCCAAGAAAACAACTAAAATTAGGTATTCTTTTTTTTGAAAGTAATTTTATTAAATTATAAAAGTTTCCATTTCTGCCCCTCCTCCCACCACCCTCCCACTCCCCCCACTCCTTCTCCTCCTCCCTCTCCATCCCTAAGAGCAGTCAGGGTTTCCTGCCCTGTGGGAAGTTCAAGTTCCTCCCCCCTCCCTCCAGGTCCAGGAAGGTGAGTGTCCAGACAGACTGGATCCGCAAAATCCAGTATATGCAGAGGAAACAAGTCCCAGTGTCATTGTCAATGGCTTTTCAGAAAGACCCTGTGCCAGCCACATTCAGAGAATCCGGCCACATTCAGAGAATCTGGTTGGATTACGTGCTCGCTCAGTCTTAGTCCAACTGGCCTTGGTAAACTCTCATTAGATCCGTCCCCTTGTATCAGTGGGTGATCGCATCCCTCGCAGTCCTTATTTCCTTTTTCATTTTCTTCATCCTTCTGCTCCTCATTTGGACCTTGGGGGGCTCAGTCCGGTGCTCCAATGTGGGTCTCTGTCTGTATCGCCATCCATCGTCAGATGAAGGTTCCCTCTGGTCTTGCCTTCTTTGCTCACGTTCTCTTTCCTTCTGCTTCTCGTTTGGACCTAGGGAGTTAAGTCCAGTGTTCCGATGTGGGTCTCTGTCTCTATCTCCATCCATCACCAGATGAAGGTTCTATGGTGATAAGCAAAATATTCATCAGTATGGTTATGGGCCAAGGCCGGTTCAGGCACCCTCTCTTCTGTCCAGAGAACAATCTGGGGATCTCTCCTTGGACCTGGGATCCCATTTATAATCAAGTCTCCCGTAAACCCTAAAATGACTCCCTTAGTTGAAATATATTCTTCCCTGATCCCATATCCATCCTTCCTCCCTCCCCCATCCCAGTCCACCGAGCTTTCCCCATTCCTCCCCTACTCCCTTCTCTCTAACCCTCTCCCCTTCCAACAACCCTCCCACCCCCCCATGCACCCGAGGTTACCTGGGACTCTTGTCTATTTCCAATTTCCAGGCGGATAGCTACATGATTTTCATCAGGTTCACCTTCTTATTTAGCTTCTCTAGGATCACGAATAATAGGTTCAAAGACCTTTAATTATGGTTAGAATCCACATATGAGTGAATACATACCATATTCCTCTTTTTGGGTCTGGCTTACCTCACTCAGTAAAGCGTTTTCTATTTCTATCCATTTGCATGCAAAATTCAAGATGTCATTGTTTTTTACCGCTGAGTAAAACTCTAATGTGTATATGTTCCACACCTTTTTTAACCATTCTTCTATTGAGGGGCACCTAGGTTGTTTCCAGGTTCTGGCTATTACAAATAGTGCTTCTATGAACATAGTTGAACAAATGCTTTTGTCTTGGGAATATACCCAAGAGATGCCCTAACATACTACAAAAGCATTTGTTCAACTATGTTCATAGGTATTCCTTTTTTAAAATTATGTCTTTAGATGGGATCTTTCTCTGTAGCTCTGGCTGGTCTTGTGCTTACTGTATTACTGAGGCTGACCTTGAACTCCTAGCAATTGTCCTGATTCAGAGCCCAAGGGCTAAGATTACAGGTGTGAGCCAGCACACCCAGGTAATTCAGGCACATCATGGAAATGGTTTTAATATGGCCTGTTTAGAGCAAGCACATGAGAAGGGTTGCACAGACAGAAGGCGACAATGCCTTGGAGGAGTAGAGGGAGACAGTGGGATTTTACAAGCCTTTGTTTCTAGGTCTGTAGATGGGGAACCGAGACCACACAGGGAAACCACTGATGAGATCATTGTCCAAAGCAGGGAAGGGGCAAGGAACACCCAGGCGGCTCTCTTTCCCTTGACTTCACATGTCTTTTTGGTGCTTCCCATTGCTGTGCAGAGTGGGAGGGTGCAGCAAAGGGGCCTTCCAAACTGCTTGATGGTATCAGCTCCGTCAGGAGCAAGGGAGAGTGTGTCTGTTTCCTTACGCTGCTGGAACAAATCACCACAAATTCATTGGCTTAAAGCAATACAGTTATATTCCCCGAGAGTTCTGGAGGTCAGAAGTCTAAAAGTATGAAGTCAGTGGAGCCAAATTTCTTTTAGAGACTTCTTGGGAAATCTGCTTTCTTGCTTTTCTTGGTCACTTGAGGCTGTCTCTGCTTCTTGGTTTGAGGTCCCTTCTTCCACTGTGTTAGATAATGCATTGTTTAACCTTGGCTTTCTTTCATAGTCAGTTCTCTATTTCCCCATCTTGTGAGTCCTTTGCCTCCCTTTTGCAATTACGTTTGACCTTTTTGGATAATTTAGGAGAGTCACTCCTTTGCAAGGCTCTTACCACATCTGCAGAATCCCTCTTTGTAAGGTGACTTATTCATAAGTGCCAGGGATGGAGAAGTGGACACTCCAGGGTGTGTGTGTATGCATGCATGCGTATGTATGTGTGTGTTTGTGTATTATTCTGATCGTCACAGAGGGGAATAAATAGGCATGGAGATAAATAGCTAGCCAATTCTTATCTAATTTATTGAGATTTATTGATCTCACTTCTGGAGGCAAACAATGTTTGTACTACACTGAAGGCTCAATGAAACATTCATCATTCGAGTAGAACTTCTTGGAAACAGCTATTTAATAGAATTATTTTTGAGTCAATCACTGAGATGGAATCAGAGGGTGGAGTGGGAAGTTCTCCGGACACTGATGGACCAGTTCCCTCCGTGAAAGATGATCTCTGGCAGAGTTTTTATAGCCTGCATGCACGCTGAGTAGCTGTCACGGGAGGGGCACTGGAATTTCTGTATGCCTCCAACTTTTGCATTGCAGCTTATATGGGAAGCTGCATAAGCTTCCAGTCTTTAATCCTTCTCTTGGGGTGGCTGAAGAGAGCATGCCCCACCCAGGAGGTCCCACTCAACCAAAGTGGGCCACACACAGGCATAAGTTGTTTTTAGAGGAGGTGACGACCTAATTCTCACAACTGGAAAGCCCGAAAATACTATTTTTCAAGAAAAAAAAAAGACTCCTAGTAACACAAAGCTTAACCATCGCTGCCGTTATCCCTAGGCACCTGCTCTTGTCCACAGCTTCACAGCCATGTTCACGGGGATGGCCTGGGTTAAACTCAGGGAGATGCAAACAAATAACATGGAGGCAACAGAGGGGTTTGTAAGGGAAGGGGTGGGATAGGTTGGTAGGTACGGGTGAGGATAAAAGGATGGAAGATGAGCGTAATTACTATGCATTATGTCCATGGATGAAACTGTCAAGACATTAAGCAGTAGCTGCTCCTGTCTTCCTCTGTTCTCTGGTACTGGCTGGAGGAGCCAATAGGACAGGCTGCTCGAATAATAACAAATAGCAGCTGGAAATGCTTTTCTAATAAGACTTTCAAGGGTCAAGTGTGTCTTCCTTAATTACCACGAGGCATTGGCAAGGAATGAAAGACCTACATGTGGTCCAGTTCAATAATCTCCAATGAACTGGGACTAAATTGATGGCTTTCTGCTACGGATACATATGTAGGCCCCAAAGAGACTGTTGGAATTACTTCTGAGTCTTTGATCTCAGGGTGGCGCACTGTCCCCATTATACCAGCAGACTCCTAAAGTTAAATTGAAGATCTACCCCAGGCTGGGTGGAACAATTAGTGGACACACATTTAGGAATGGAGTAGCTGGGCCAGACAATGGCTCGGATTACATTTTGGAAGAGCTGCCAAATTGCTTTCTGAAGTGATCAACTAATTTACAATCTGGGTGCCAATTCTTGTCTCTATATTTTCTATGTTATAACACTGCCATTTTGATTCTGATTCTCTGGCTTCTCTCTCTCTCCTTTCATAATTATATCTTTCTGGTCTTTATCCTTTAGAATGACCTTCTCCATGGCCATTATTTTCTGCCAAACAGTACTTTAAGCAAAAGATCTAATTTTATCCCAAGGCATAGCCAATATAAAGGAAATCTGGGGTCACTATTGTCCTCCCTTCCTTACCTGGTTGACAGATGTATTGGAGTGTGCATCTGTTTACATTCATGTTCTTTGTTTTCATCTGGGGACTCAGCAAGTCAGGACATACGACACACATGCACTCACACACACATGCGCACACACACACACACACACACACACACACACACATACACATTGGTGAGATGATTGGCCTGTCTTTATTGAAGGGTCTGGGCTCTCTTTGTTATGTTGGGCTTCTCTTTGGGTACTCAAGGATTCCGAATTATACTGAACACGCCTTTATTACAGCATGTGGATTAAAGTAGAACATGTTCTACCAAATGCCCTCAGGGTCAGGTTGACATTTCTCTGTCTCTTTGTTCAGTAGTGGCCCTAATGTCCTTTGCTAAGTAAAAATATATTTTAAATCAGGCGACTAATACTCTTCTTTTGATGATTGCTTTACAGGTGGGAGAGACTTTAAATAACCAGGAAGCCAGCTGCAATTTTCTGTCAATGGAGCACTTGTCTTATTACTGTGAATTAGTTTCTGCCTTGGGTGTTAATCCCACTATCCCACCAATCCCAAAGACACAGAGAGGTAACGAACCCCTTTTGTATGTCAGTAAGTTGTCCTGAGGAGAGAAGGCCCTCTTCTTTCCTTGGCTCGTGAACACATGCTAACCGTGTCTAGTCACAATAGTCTAACTAGAGAAGGGGCATCTTTTCTTGGTTACTGTTGAGGAACATCTCTGACAACGTGTAGGCTAGCGCCCTAGTCTGACAGGAGGCTTTTGCCAGATGGTGCTGTCACTGGGTTTGCTGTAGCTCAGGCCATCTTTCCAAATCACCAACTTCTTTGGGGTGATGGGGTACAGAGTGAAGTGAGCGGATCTTAGTGCCACAGCCTGTCTCTCCCCTGCTACCTCTACCCCTTACAAGAGTTGTCACACAAGAAGGAAGGAGCCTGGGAATGTGGATTTCCTGCTTCAGAGGTACAGCTGAGGGAGGGAGGGAGGGAGGAAGAACACTGTTGACTACTTAGCTCGTTGGCTAACACAGTTTGCTCTGTTATAATGTAGGTCTTTGCACAGATGCAACTCCATAAAAAGCTCTTCCTTGGCCATATTATTCAAAAGAACACTGTTCTCGCTTCCTATCTCTTTACTTTGGTTTATTTTATAGAGAAAATATGACTATCCCAACTCATGTTTAGCTACAGGCTCGACCTCTTTCCACCATGGTTATGCAAGCCACATGAGGACAGGGTACATGATCCTATAACGATTCTGCAAATACAGGAAATACTCAGGTATTTGTTGCAAGACAGGAAGAAAGAATGACATGGAGAGACATCATTACTGCAGAAAGTAAGCAAAGTTAGGGTTTCATGATAAATCTGAAGCCTGATTCCAGATAATTCTAACATGAGAGACAAAGGGAAATGCAGAAGGGATTTGCTAAGATGATAATATTTTTGTCTTTCCCCATTTCTGCCTTTTTTTAGGTGTCACTGTAGTGATTGCAAGATGCTAGTACATACATAGTCATTAGCATTGAGTATTGACAGGGAAGCATGTTCAAATCTGTATATTAAAACTTACACCTGAGAAACTTGTTGCTGGAGTGGGTGAATTAAATCTATTCATTAGCCTGCATTCTCTCGCAGAACCCAGTATAATGACAGGAAAGAGAGTCGCTGATGCTGTAATCTCACATGGAAAATAGGCCGGAAGAAGTGACAACGGCAACAACATTTTGGGAGCTGGAAAGCAGAGAGATGAGGGGGTCACTGACTTAGCACAGCAGAGAGCCGAACTGCAAGTTGGCAGTAGGGGTGACGATGTGGATAGACGCACACCCTGGGAGCTTTATGCCTCACTCAGTATTTAGCAGCATGAGGTGCCTTTGGAAATCGGGTGTGTGAAAAGTAGAGAAGTCCAGGATGGGGACAGGGAGTTGATCCCTGCGTATGAATTAGTAGGAGGCTCTCAGGTCCTAATCCCTCCACGCTGTAGAAGAAGACCTTGTTCCTCCTGGCAGTGGCTGGAAGCTTCTTGACTTTCGCACACAAAGGGCTGGGGCATGAACCCAAGCAGAGGCGAGGGTGAAGCACCACAGTGAGGAGAGATGCCAGTGGGCTTTTACCCCTGAGTTGCTGTGGGAGTTCCTTCAGCTCCTTCAGCCAATCGCCGCTGAGTTACCAGTCCATTGGGGCGTGGTCTCTCCCTTTAAAAAAAGCAGCGGCTGTCCTCCACTCTCTCTTTTGTCTTCCGGCTCCGTTTCCGGCCCCTGGACTCCTTTCCTGTTCGCGCGGAGGGGCTGTTGTCTGGGACGGTAATCTGTAAGTTTTTTCCCCTTTGAATAAATAACCATTCTATTAATCATAATTCCAAACTGGTGTGGGATTGTCTGTGACTTACGCCTTCACTGAGTGATCTGCAGGTCTCTCCCTCACCCTCTGTCCTCCCCATGGAAGCTGTCAGGATGCTTGGCTAGGGCCAACCTCTCTTGGCAACAGCAGTTTCCCAGTCCAGACTCAGAAAAGTGAGAGCTTTTCTAATACGATGATGCAGCCTGAACAGCTCACAATGAAACCACATGCACAGAACCCCTGCGCAGGTTTGCAGCACCTCCCTTTCAGAGGGAGTGACTGTCAAAAATTACAGACACTTAAGAAGAGTCTCTGATATGAAAACTAGTCTAGGAAAAATCAAGAACCAAGTAACTTGAAGATAGTAGGAACCATGAAAACGATGGAAACAAAAAAATTAAATTTACTTTCATTAATATCCCAGAAAGAGAAGACATTCCATTTATGAAATAAACCCAAGAGCTCTAAAAACAAAGCATTTAAAAAGAGGACGTTGACCTGGAATTAATAATATAAAAAGAAACTTCAAATTTCGTCTGGTATGTAATTCATATAATCCCAGGAAGACCAGGAATTTGAGGTCAGCCTAGGCTACCTAGTGATTTCTAGGCCATCCTGGGCTCTATTGTGAGACTCTGCCTAAAGCAAACAAACAAAATCCACATGAAATAAGTTAAATAAAAATTAGAATTATAAACCAGTAGACAAATTGAAAGGCAAAACTGACAGTTCCTTAGTAATTGTATATCAAGAGGATCCAAAGGTAGATCAGAAGAGCAAGTCTGTTTACAGAGCCGATTCAAGACCGCTGGATAAACCGGAAAGTAGAAACTGAGACAATAAATAGACTGAATGGAGTTTTAAAATAATCCAGGAAACATTTCCAAAGCTGAATCATTTCCAGACTGAAGGAATATATCAAATGCTCAACCTAGTGAATAAGAGATTTGAGTCAAGCAGACAAAGAGAAGTCCCAGAGGCTGGGGCAAGGACAGTGAGGTTGTGTTCTTCCAAATTTCATGCTGTTGGAATTCTTAAGGCATTAAAATCATACATATACTTTATCATATAAAATTGAATTGTTTTTTGTTCACAAAGAAACTCATTACGAAAGGCAAGAATAAGATTAGGAGAAGGTATCCATTTGTAATATGCTATATAGCTGGAGGTCTAGGCTCTATGACATGCACAAGATTGGCATGTCAGTGAGAAAAATACATGCTATATAAAAAGTAGAAAGATGCTAGGAGCAAATCAAGGGAACAGAAACACAAATGCCACACAGACAACTGAGAAATGCCCAATTTTACTAGGAACCACAGATGTCTGATCAAAAGCCCTTCAGCACTGTTGTTTTGTGCATTATGTGGGCAATACAGTTTGTTAGTGTCCACTATTCCATTATGAGTTGGTAAGAGGTTTGAGGAATGCATGCTCTCCTACTCTGGGAGGAGTACAAATGACTTTAAAAAATGAAATATGTATCATCTGTTACAACAACATACATGTAAGTCCTCTGACTGTCAGCTGTCCTAAGTGTCTATCCTGTGGTATACTCTCAGAGGGGCATGGGAACATAGCCACAGGTATGTCTAATATAGTGTTGTTCATAATTGTGGGGCAACAGAGAATTTATTGCCCTCTGATAGGGCATTGGTTAGATAACAGTGCATTTCGTGAAAGACTGTGTCCTCATGACAAAGGAGTCTGTGTGAATAGTTCAAGGAACTTCACAGTGTTTTGTTGATTAAATAAAAGCTACTATAACAATTTAAGCATCCCCAGGTTTCTGTGAGGAATGGGTTAGCTCAAACAGGTTTTTTTTTTCTTTTTTTCTCTTTGTTTAAATAAGTGAGTAGATAGAAAGTAAATGTTGGGCTCAAATGTTTTGTGAGGGTAAAACAAGGCTATGGTTAGTGTGCCAAAGAACAAAAAAGGAAACAGGTGGCTTGTAAAGGATGTTTTCTGGATCTGCTCACCTGGGGTCAAAGGTCTTAGTTGAGACACATCCTATGTACAGGAAGTCACTTGGAGAATGGTGCTGAATGGCCATTCTCATTCCTTTAAGAGAATCAGAAGACTTACCTAGACTCTCATTTGATGGATGGATGACTCAAAAAGAATGATTATCAACCTGTGAGTCATGACCCCATTTGGGGTCAAATGACCCCTTCACAGGCGTTGCCCAAGACCATGGGAAAACACAGATATTTACATTATGATTACGACAGTAGCAAAAGTACAGTCATGAAGAAACAATGAAAATAACCTTATGGTTGGGGGTCTCCGCCACATGAGGAACTGTGTTAAAGGAAAGCAGCCTTAGGATGGTTGACAACCATTGCTCAGATAGAAGGAAGACGTTCTTACTGTGGATTTCTCTAAACCACAGAAGGGGTGATGGGGAATCCTGTGTTTTCTGAAATGTTAACATAATTTAGATAGGACATTACATGGCCGGGATCAGGTTTGGGATGCTTGCAGGTGTAGCCTGCCCGAGTTCTAACTTCTACTTCTTACCCCATGGCAGTAAGCATTGTTGTTTCTTGTTGGTGGTGTTGTTTTCTCTTTTTACTCTTATGTTGGGGGATTCTGCCACCCAACTCCCAAATAAATCACATGAGGCTCATTCTGACTTAGAAATGCCAAGCCTTAGCTTGGCTTGGCTTGTTTCTAGACACCTTGTCTTAAGTTATCCCTTCTACCTTTAGTCTCTGGACTCTTACCTTTTTCTACTTCTATGTATCTTTCTTTACTTCTTATTCCTTGTCTGGTTGTGTGGCTGTATGACTGGGCCCTTCTTTTCTCCTTCCTTGATTCTCTCTTCCAAGATTTATCCTCCTCTTTATTCTGTCTGCCTTCCAGCCCCACCGATCCTTTCTCCTGTCTTGCTATTGGCTATTCAGTTCTTTATTAGACCAATCAGGTGTTCTAGACAGGCAAAGTAACACAGCTTCACAGAGTTAAACAAATGCAACATAAAAGAATGCAACACATATTTGCATCATTAAACAAATATTCCACAGCATAAATAAACATGACACATTTGTAACTAATATTCTACAACTAAGAAGGGTAGTGACTTATATATGGTATCCTGGCTCCCTCTTGTAAGTGTGAAGAATAGGAATGGGGGTTTTGATAGCAAAAGGAATAAAGTCATATCTCATCCCCATTGTTCTTGCCTGACATGAGAGAGTCCATCTTCTGTGTTGTATGACTTGCTGTCCCTTTGCATGAAATCCTCTCTTTTCAGCTCTGTTTTGAGGTTTATCTATAGAGTTTAGCTCACAAAAGTCAAGAACACCCTGGGCCTTGGGTTGAGTGTAGCCACCTACAGAAGATTGACAGAGGGCAGAGAGTAAGTCTGAGATGTAGTGACATTTCATTTGTATTTTAATAAATAAAGCTTGCCTGAAGGTCAGAGGCTGGTCAGCCTTATAGACCAGATAGTGTCAAGTTTCTACTGTTTGTTTGCATCGCTGTTTTTATCTTTTTGTTAAAAAAATCAGCTCAATATATCTAACATGTTTTAAAAACAGGTGATGAGAGTTTAAAGATATTTTCTTCTCTTTTCTTTTTTATCCCAAACAGCTGGAGGAAGTAGAATTCATAGTCATGTCTAAACTCTTAAGATTTTTTCAGTAATCCATATCTTTGAAGTATTTTAAAAAATGTATTACTGTTTTCTGATTTCACGTATGTTCATCTTGTCACCCCCAGTTCCCTATTATCTTTCTTTCCCCTTCCCTCTTCACAAAAATCCCACTCATGTTCACATCTATTTTGTATTGAGACTCATCAATACTAAGTAAGGTCATCTATATTGCCTTGAGTTCAGAGGTATCTGTAGGATCCTGGTGGCACAGTCAATTGATAAACCTACGATAGTGATTCTCCTCTCTCCCAGAATCTATGGAGAGCCAAAAGCAACCGGTAGGCAGAGTGAGTCCCTCCTTGACTGACTGTTGATAGGATTGGTTTTGCTTGGACCCAGTAGCCTCCATAATACTTTCTTTCTTCCCAATCTCTTTCTTTTCTCACTGCGATTCATGGTTAAGCCTTCAAACACTGATCATTATTGGCATGTGGTTCACATGTTACTTGAGGTAGACTTTAATGAGCTTCCAAAACTACGGCCTAATTGTGGAAATGAAGTGTCAAAAAATAATAGCATCCTGCTGTAAGCAAGAGCCCAGGAAATTATCCAGTTTTCAAAGGATGCTTTATTGTCTGATGTTTTTAGCTTTAAGGCCAGACTGGAGACAGAACACAAAGGAGCCCTTCAAATCACCCTCTTGGTGATGGCTAAATGTTACTCTAAGCATCGCAGTTGTTACCCTCTGTTGTTGGTTCCCTCTAGGACTTAATGAAGATGGCAATTTAATTATTACCAGGAGCCCACCCAGAGAGTTGAGTGTTTCAGTAGTGACTGTGGCAGGGAGGGAGGGAGGGAGCTGCTACGATGCAGGACGGTGAACAATTGGCCTTTTCTGAGGCTAGCAATAGGTCTAATAGGGTAACAAATTCTTCAGCCATAACATTACTACTTTTTTTTTCTAAGTCATCACGAAGTAAATATGGATCTATGCATAATACTGAGATGTGTGTAGGGCTGCCGCACAAAAGACCCACAGATGAGTGCAGAGCAAGCTATTCAGAACGCTCAACCACATGACTGGAATACTAAATTCAGAAGAGTCGGAAACAAACCTCTAATGCTCCACCAAAACAATGGTGTCATAGATACTTGAGATATACAACTTTTGAGTTT